TTCTTCTTCTTCTTCTTCTTCTTCTTCTTCTTCTTCTTCTTCTTCTTTTTAGAAGCTTGATTTTTCTGAGTGGAGGAGCTCCAGTAAAACTTTATTTATAAAAACAGAACACTCTGATGTCAGGACATAGAAAAGTGAAGCTGGAACTGACCTGAAAACCTCTGCTGGCCAGTTCTCACAGGCCTGGAAGGTACCATGTGGGCCTCTGAGAGAGAAAAGTCATCAATAGTATTACCCAGGGGAGAAGGCTGAATGTTGTAGTACTGTCCTGCCTTGTAAATTGTGTCCACTGGTGCAATAGTGGCATAGACATTATGGTGGCAACCAATCATCATTTTCTGATCGAGTTTGAGGCCTGAGCCATAAGAGGAATTCATATCTGCTATAAGCCTGGTCAAAAGGCAATGAAGTTATGCCACTACCTACAACTATTATTTTGCTAAATGCAAATGGTGTCAAACTGCCCTTTAAATATTTACAGCGATATTCATTGATTAGTGCTAATCTCAACCCCAACCAGAGGTGCTTCTGCTAAAGCAGGCAGCAGTTAATGTGGAAATTCACAGCTGATCCAAGTGCTGAGAATAAATGATTGTTGAATGCTTAGCTCTAAATGGGACATCTTTATCAAGCTCCCCAAGGCTCAGCAAACATCCTGAAAGAAGAGAGTGGAAATTGTATAGGTACTGGAGAATGGGTAGAAATGGAGTGACCCAGCCACTGCACATTTGACCTCAGGGCAGTTTTAACTACCTGCATAAGACTCTGGGTCCCTAAAAGCTTCTGCACTGAGACCTGACCACCTACCCCTCTCTGATGGTGGTCCAGTTGCGGTTCTTCCAGGAGTCTAATGCTTCTCCTGGGGCCTGGGAATGTTCTCCCTGGGAATGAATGTCTTTACCTTCTCTTGTAGTCACAGTTGCTTGCTCCTTCAGTTGTGGCAAGCCTACTTTCCCTGGTTACCTGGGGCTGCCATTACTCTTGTTTCTTGCTTCCTGCTTCAACCAATCTTCTTGCAGTAGCTACTGGCTCTCCACCCAATTCCAGGACGTTGGCTCCCAGTGCTCAGTGATGTCCTCCCATGCCTTGTGCTCCACCAGGACTGCAGCCCCAGGCTTCTGAATTTTGTTTTTATTTTTTTGTACCTCAAGAAAGATCTAGCCTCAAAGTGCTCGTTGTCTGATGCTAGTAATGCCCTGCCAGCACAAAGAAGCCTGTGTGTTCTGTTACTGAGAGTATCTTCACCTGTTATACCTCAACTGCAGCAGGATGGTCATAGCATCTCTTAGAGCTTTGAGCCTGCAGAAAAAGCACCAGGCCTGATGTCTGGAACCCAGGCTGCCTCACTCTATCCAGTGACTTGACTTGTAAGAAAGTCTGTCCTGGAAAAAAAGATTTCAAATAGAGAAACTCCACATTGCATGCACTGAAATCAATCAAATGTTAAGGGGTCATGTCAGAAAAGCAACCGTAGGGTGAGGGATAGGACAGTCAAGCCTGTCCTAAAGCTTGCTGAAAGTTTGGGAAACATCCCTAGGTCTCTGTGCTTATAAAACATGATTATTCTTTTCCTCTCTATCATTGTTCATTTAGAACCTATTAAATGTTTTGCTATCACTAGATGAAATGCCTTGTAGGAAGATCGACAGTTGTTAGAAGCTATTCCCTGCTCTCAAGTGTGGGCTCATAACAGGATGTTGTATTTCAAAGGCTTGAAAAGGATGAGAGAAACTTCCTCCCACCCTTCTGAAAAACACAACTAGGACTCTAAGCAAATAACTCTACCAAAAATCACCCTGCCATTTGCAAGGAAGCCCAGGTGTATGTATGCAACTGGATTTTCAGAATAGCAGGGAGTTGATTTCAATTTTCTCTGAGTTCACCATTTACTCTTTCCATAGGAACCACTAGGAACATGATAGACCCTGCCCACGATTTAAACACAGCTTATTTCTCTTCTCTGTTTAGTTTGTCGAGATACACTGAATGTCTTAGCACTGAATGAGATTAAACAAGTTCAGCCTTATTTTCATAAGTAATGTCAGGAATGGGCACTCTTTCAGGGAAACACAACATGAGAGCCATTGGAAACCCCAAACATTAAGGGCTAACACACCACATCCAGACAAGATATGGATCTCAATGAATACTGAAGATGAATGGATGAAATGGGGAGATGAGATGGACGAAGCTCATCCATCTCACTTAGAGTTAGAGTTTATTTCATGGTGTAAGGGTATGTTGGTTAGTTTTTTTGTCATCTTGATAGAGTTGTCTGAGAGGAGGGAAACTCAAGTAAGAAAATTTCCCCACCACATTGGCCTATAGGTTAAATCTTTGGGGCAGTTCCTATCTTGAATTCCTATCCTGACTTCCCTTCACAATGGACTACAAGCTGTAAGCTACAATAAACCCTTTCCTCCCCAAATTGCTTTTGGTTATGGGGTTTTATCACAGTAATAGAGAGAAAACTAAGACAAGGGGAAATCAGAAAGTCATTTTAGGATTGATGATGGAGCAGCAAAACCCTAAAGAGGGCACAGTGCAGTTTTGTGCCCTAGTGGAATCCCTGCTGGGAAGCCTGTGGGGGACCATCCCTGAGCTCAGCAAGATGCCGAAACTAGAAATACTATAAAGGGAAAGAGCGACTCTGCACAATTGGGAATGAAATCACTTCAAGGGGAAGCAGTTCTTAGATGATGGCGGTGGGAGGAGATGCACCCAAATAGGCTTGGAATTGGAATGCCTGAGTCAGCCGAGAAAGTAAAAAAGCATGACTGCAAAGAAGAGTTTTTATTCATTTGGTCTCAGAAGGCATAAATAAATAAATAAACAAACAAACACGTAAACAATCAAACAAATGAAAAAACAAATGCAGTCGCTACAAGAAGCATGGTCATTATGTCATTATGTCAGTATGGAGCAGTCGTACCCTTTATGGCCTGATGGCTCTTGTCTAGTCATATCTGTAGCTTAGGTTCATTCCGGCTGAGGAGATGGTGATTCTGCATGGTTTTCTTTGCACTCATTTGTGTGGCTGTTAAGCCACCCTGGATTAATATCTTTCCCCTCGATTTCCAAGAGCTTCTTTTCTTCCAGACACCCAGGACGTCTCTGTTCCCTTGTCTTACGAGTGTTGGAGGTGAGGACTGTCAAGGAGGCATCCAGTGAACTGTTAACACCTCCCCTTTCCTTCTCTTCTTCTTGAGATAGTATATCATGCAGCCCAGGATGGCCTCACACTTGTTAATGTAGCTGAGGATGACATTTAAACTCCTGATTTTTCTGCCTCTCTCTCTCTTTCTCTCTCCTCAGTGCTGGAATTAAGGCATGCACCACCATGCTGAGTTTATGCAGTGCTGAGGACTATATTTAGTTCCTCAGGAGGGTTAGGCAAGCACTCTGCCACCTGAGGTATATACAGAGACTTGGATTTTCATTTCTAGTTTTTAAAAATTCTCTCAAGTTTAGGCTAACATTAGCATCATATTAGCCTGATATTACCCAAAGGCGAATAGAAATACAGGAGGCCCTTGGTTCTTATCAGTGTCTTTCTTGATGCTGAGACTAGCACTAAGTTCTTCAGAGCTTCATTCATATCTTCTTCATGTCTCTAAATGTGTCTGTACTGGTCATAGATACATAACACTGCTTGTGTCAGGATATTGCATTCTTATTGGTTGTTACAAAAGCCAATGTGCTTATATGCAGCTTTGGTTTAAAAGTAAAAAGATAACAAGCTCATATTTTGCATAGTAGGGCCTGGCCCCCCTGGATCAAGCCACAAGAACACGAAATATTCAATTCAATTTTGGTATCCAAACGTTAAACATAAAAATAAATTAATAAATACATAAATTACTCAAATAACTTAAATATTTCAATAGCATAAGACCAAGAGTACACTAAAACATCTACACATAAATTAGCTCATCCTCTCAGGATGCATTTAACATTTAAATGTAGAAATTATAGCAAAGGTGTCATTATGAACCTAAAAAACTGGAAAAAAGCCAGCCAAGCAGAAAATCATTTGGGGGAGGGGGTGGCGGAGTCTCTTCCAGCATGAGTTGAAAATTTTCTTTCCTAATTTCTTCTACTTTTTTTCCCCTTCTTCCAAAGTTGCATTCTGGGATTGAACCCTGTAAAGGAATGTGTAGTCCATGTTGGTCGTAAGTGTAGCTTCAATGTCCTATTTGTTCCCACACATTCTTACCTATCCATTGGATCTTGAAGGGGGGAGGGGTTCCCTGTGAGAAGGCCCAGCCCTTCCTTACAGGGCTTGAAATTCAGCTGGTTTCATGCTTGCCAGGGGCTCTCTCGAAAGATTTTTTTTTAAAGGGGCATCTGATCAGGAAATTTTCTTATTACAAACACTTCAGTGGTCCTAAGGTTCCAATTTCTATCCACTTCCAAGTCCTCCTTACTCTGACCTCTGGTTTCTTCCCCATCCGGTCTTGCTTGCCTTTCCCCATACAAGGGTAGGACCCATGCCTGTGCTCCTTATTGCAATATCCTTGGGCTCAGGACAGTTCCTGACCTAACGTAGATATCAAAATTAATATCTGCTCATAAACAAATGTGTTTCTGACTCTGGTGTCCCTACGCCAGAAACTCCACTCCATCTCTCACAAGCCGCCCCTCGTTGACCTCCATCAGGACAGCTGAATGTTCTGCTGTGGCCGGGCTTCGTGGATCTGCTCACCTATTTGCAGGGCACGCACGCATGTTTGCTATACAATGAATTGTAGTAGCGATCCTGAGCTTCCACGCAGACTCTTCCGTCTTTGCACCGGACTTTGGTGGAGGTCGTGTCTACTAGCCATGTACCGTTCTGCAAAGGGGAGAAAAGTTAGGTGCGTTGGCAATACAAGACAGACTGGCATGTTCCTGCAGAACATCACCTCTGTAAACAGTGTCCAGTGTTGTCTTTGGGCTACCCTTGCACCACCTGCTGGCAGAAGCTGTAAACAGAGGTGTGTGTGTGTGTGTGTGTGTGTGTGTGTATGTGTGTGTCCTCCCTTGTCCCAGAGCTGGGGTTGCAGGCATTACTATTCAGCCTTTACCTAGTTTCTGGGAGTTAGAATTCAGGTCTTCGTGCTTTAGCATGGCTCAGCCATCTCCCTGGCCTCACTTTTCTGTTTAGTAAGCTCCAACAAAAATGGTTTTCTCCACCTTTACTCTCTCTGAATAGTAGCCTTGCCTCAAGGCCTCATGGGCAATCACTCCAGTATGAGCCTGAGGTTGGGACTGAGACCAACCTCCCATAGCTGTCATCTGGCTATCAAGAAATACTTTCCCCTGCACCTGTCAGCTTATAAATGTGACTTCAAATCTTGGCACTGCTACTAAACAGCCGTGGAGCTTCAGGAAAATGTCTTTGGCTCTCTGTCTCTCTCCTAATTTATGAATAGGTCCCAAGATAATGTCTGCCTGTTATTGCAGAAGGCAGATACAATATTTATCTAAAAATGCTTAGAAAGTTTCTAACAAATAGAAACCGCTCAACTTCACCTATTTAAGATATGCATATTAAATACACACAGAGCTGAAATCTAGCAAGATGTTAGGTGACATTAAAATCTGTTTCGAAATAGCCGAATTTTTCTGCTCCTGTTTTTAGAGCATGATTGAATCTCTGAGCTAAATTGTTACCGAATTCTCAATGTATGTAGAAAAAAAAAAAAAAAACCTTTGCTTTGTGACTTTAAATGCTCTGTAAAACCATCCCCTAAACCTTGCAAAAGATCACTGTGTTAAGGGCCAGAAGGCAGGAAAGCCACCATACTAGCCTGTGTAAGTGTGGGCACCCTGCTTGGCGAAATAATTGCATAGTATATTGAAGAAGTAGGGATTATTTATATTGGGTGAGACCGAGCACCAATGTTCTAGCATTTATTATCTTATTATTATTATTATATTTGTTATATTCACTCATTTGAAGCAATCATTTTAGGCTTCTGGATCCCAGGTCTCTATACCATGGGCAATTTTAGTTGAGGATTGCTGGTTGGCTGAACTGGAGGAACTGGGATGGTTGGGGTAACTCCCTTTGCCTCTTACAGACTGTCGCTGCTTTAGCGGGGTTCTGTCGCTGCTCTAGAACTCACAGCCCCTGTGAGCTTCACTCTTCTCTGTGAAGAGGTGACAGCAATACTGGTTGCCTTCCGGCCTTTGTGTGGGTTGGGTATGATACACATGGAGAGCCCTTAGCACAGTTCTGGGCCTGTAGCAAGCACCTGATTGTTAGGATCTTTACATTGTCACCAATGTGGGCTACATAAACCTCACCTGTATACAAGCGTTCCTCATCTTATTTTCTTTATTGCTATTTGCGTTCCTCATCTTATTTTCTTTATTGCTCTCGGTCCAAACACAGAACTTGAGGGCGAAGTAGGAATGGGGGGTGCTCCAGGAGTCAGGGTACTCCCAGCTGACCTCCACCTTATCGTTCTTCAAAGGCTTCACCTTTAGGTTCTTGGGAGGGTCCGGTGTGACTGCAGAAGAAGACAGGCATCTTGGTTATCCTGGCAGGGCTTTGGAGCCAGGGTTTAGGCTTCTGATCCTGACTGACTGAGCCATCCACTTTTTAGTCTCTAGGATAGCTCCTTCTGAGCACCAGGGCAGCCCTTGTGAGGAACCCCTGCTGCTGCTGCTGAGGCTGTTGCTTCCACAGGAGGAAGTCGCTACTATTGGCCACATTCTGTATTTTAGAACCTTTTATTCACTGCACAGACTGGCAGTCCCTGATGCTCGAGTCATTCTGCTTAATAAAGCCTGGTCTCGGGCTCTTCCACCAGGGACACCCTGTCTGTATTTGATCCTTCACTTTAAGCATGTAGTTGACCCCAAACTCAGAGTCCACTGTGTGCACCACTGGCCTCTGTATAAGGATACACTGTGTGTCATGATCTTCAAGTGGCAATTTCTTCTAGATGGAGCGACTTCTCTGGAGTGTGCTCCAGCTTAAGAAGCTTAGCTCCATTCCATGCAATGGCCATCTTGTCCCTGGTGGACACTTCACAAATACCCCTTGTAGTGTGGTTAATACCATCAACACTCTTTGCTTTAGGCCTCTGTTGAGTGTCATCTCCTCAGAGGTTACCTCTTTGGCCACCTCCCTCTGTGAACACTCCCACCCATGACAGACTTTTTGCAAATTCTGCATCAATTTCTCTAATCCCACCACATTCTATCAAGATGACCATTCCATGAATATGTGGTAAAGGAAATGAGGAATGACAAACTCTCTGTCTGTTGATTTAAAAGTATATGTCCAAGGGAGTGTGTGTGTGTGTGTGTGTGTGTGTGTACTTGAATGCTAGAGAAAAATGACTAGTGAAAATTGCAATTGGTAGGGAAGTTCTAGCTTCGAGAATAGGTGATATGCTCCAGTGACTCTTGGATTCATCATGTCAGCAACCTGGGTAGCAGATTAGGCATGGCACAAAATGCCTGCTTACATAGGGCAGATCTGGGTCTGGGCTGCTATCTGTGAGATTTAAAATCTGGGGAAAGGAGGCTTAACCCTTCAATTTCTTCCTATGTAAAATGCAGACAGTAGTGTCTATATCATGCTTTTGAGGAGGTTGCAGAAGGAAAAAGAATGCAGGTAAGTTCTATACCTCCAGGGTATCATGAACGCATGGCAAAGAGCATCTTTGCTCCACAAACATCTTTGCTTCCCAAGCACATGATCACATGAAAAACTCACTGATGTCCCTGGTGAAGAAGCTGGTACTGTAGTTCTCATATTTATTCTGCTCCTGTGCCTCCAGCACCAGGCCAATGGGCACGGTCTCCTCGGCAGTTGGGCAGGTGGTGTCCTCCTGGCACGTTACTGAGTACTGCTTAAGCTTACCGTCCTTTTCATCCCCTTTGACTTTCTCTGCAGTCAGAGACACAGCTCCACATGTCACTGCTCTGGAGTCAGGGGAACTGGCCAAGACAGAAAGAGTTCTGTGTTATAGATCAGAGAACATATGCCTGAGAACATATACAATCTGAGGACAGACTATCCACTTGGTTAGCATTCTCCTATGGGGTTAAAAAAACAAAAACCAAAACCAAACAGCCTTTTCCAGAAGCAGAAGCTTAGTTGTAAGAGACTAAAACTTACAGCTTGGGGACCTAAATGAACTTGGAAATGTTTTAATGCAAGAGAGGGTGCTTCAATCCCCTTATTGAAAACTTAAATTTCCCTACATCATACATAAAGTTAACAGGCACTAATTAGAAATAATTAAAATGACAAAGATGCTTGTAAAGAAAACATTCGTGTCCCTGCAATCCCTGTTTTAACTCAAATCTGAGTTCCAGACATAGATATTATTCATAGTTTGTTAACTCTAGAGTTTTTCAACGAATATTTAAGATAAACATATCTGCACATATATGCACATACATATTTTTTATCCAAATAGTAACATGACTTTAAACAAAAAAAACAAGAAAATTACCTATGGGTGAGTATGTAACCATCTTTTTCCTCTCTGAAAAAGGGAGTTCTTTTGTGGGGGAGTTCTCTAAGCAGAACACTTAAGTTGGATTATTTACTTCAACAAATTCACATTAATGCTCTGTTTGAGAATTCATTTGCTAATTATGCAAAATATCTTAGAATTTCTTATCCGAGCACCAGTATCTTCATGAACACATGTAAGATTTCTCTAGTGAGAAAATTTATTGTACTTGTCCATTTGTTTTTAATCTCATACAGGTCTGGCATGCTACTATAGGTAGCTATCCTGCAGTTATGTGGGTTTCCTAAGGGGCCACCTCTGCCAGCTCAAAAAAAAAAAAAAAATCTCATATGAGCCGAAAGGACTCTGATGTCATCCTGAACCATTATTTTCCTTAGTTATGTTTAAGTCATAGCAAATTCAGGCTGAAGATGGGAACGTGAGTCCCCAGTGCACTCATTCAGATAGTAGCAGAGCCTGATGATGATGATGCTTATTCTGCTGCGAGGCTCAGGGGGTTAGCTGGATTTAATTGCCAACTGAAGTCAGTAGAACAGCCCGACACACCAGCCCTGCAATCCCGGGAAAACGGTTTTTTAGGGAAAGCTCAAGTGTGTTGGACAAACTGAACTTCAGAATATTGGTGTTGGTGGGGCAGAGAGAAGTTGATAAGGCTTTGGAAAAAAATCTCAGAAGATCTCAGAGGCTTCTGGGATCTGTTTCAAGGCTTCCAAGAGCAAGGCCGCAGAACACTTGTTTGTCTTTTTGACGTAAGGTAGAGTTTTGGCAAGTTGTTTGTAGCTGTGGGTTCTTCTTAATTTCTCCCCTCTGTGCTGGGGGCCATAATGAAGCTCTGCCAGGCAATTTGGATGAATGGGTTCAAATTCGCCAGAAAACTCTTTTCAGTGGGCTGGCTTAAAGCTCCTCATTACTTCCTTGGGCAAGTGGAGGGAAGTTGAAAGAAATATGGGCTTGACTCTGCCGTTCCTTTACCATTCATTGATAATCCGAGGACAGTTTGCACTTATTTTCTTTATGAAATTGGTCTAAAAAAATGTTAAGGAACCAGAACAGCTCTCTTACCTACTGCTGTTCTTGATGTTGAACTTCAAGTCAGTCCTTTCCACCAGCCAAGAGCACGTGAAACGCCCGGAGTAATTTGCTGCCTCACATTTCAGGAAAGTCTGGTTTTCAGAATCTATATTTGAAAAGAAAAAAAAAAAAAAAGAATCGTTATTTACGATTTTTTTTTCTAGTAAAGACAATTTTTTTCTATCTATCTATCTGTCTATCTATCTATCCATCTATCTATCTTGCACGAATCACAGGCCACTAAATGGCACAAGGGCGAGGTTTCTGGAGACAAGGTCCCATGTAGCTCGGGTTGGCTACATAGAAGGACCTAAGCCTCTTGATACTTCTGTTTCCATCTCCCAATTGCCTTTGTGGTACTAAAGATCAAACACAGGGCCTTGTATATGCTGGGCAAGTGCTCCACCCCTAAAACTACATTTTTTTTGGTCTGACATTCTTCCATCAGCTTCCTGAGATTAGGCCGCTTTGTTGGCATGCATTTCGGCATAGGCCCGTAATGTCTGGGTAGGACACTGATTCTTCAGAGCATGATATACTGCAGCACTTCCTTTACATCCACTAGAGAGAAATATTCTTTTTCTTTTCCAAAATCGTTACCCCAGTACTGAGTTATCAACTGAACTCATAGCCCAACTTTTAACAGATATCTAACAATATCTCTGTCACCCAAAGAAAACTTGAGAACATGCATTCAGAAAGACAACTAAACTCTCTCTGTATCAGATAGCAATGGACAATAACCCAAGAATTTCAGGGAAGCCAGGGGAAATGGAGATTATAGGACTCATGTTTAGTCATTAACTGCACTAAATATGTCCTGTTTTTTCAAATTTTTAATTTTTTGTAACTATTGGGGGGGACAATATGGGCTGGAAAGACAGTCAAGTTGATAAAGTGGCCTGGAAAACACAAGGACCAGAGTTCAGGCTCTAGTTAGGTAAAAAAAATGCCAAGAGTGATGGCATGCACTTGTAATCTCAGGACTGGAGAGGCAGAGACAGAAAGGTCTCTGAATGTCTCTTGACAGCCAGTCCAGCTTACAGGTGAGCTATGGGCCAATAAGAGTTTCTGTCTCAAAAGAGATGAGAAGCATTTCTGAGGATAATATCCAAGGTTGTCCTTTGCCCCCTCCATGTATCTGTACACATATGAACATACACGCACACACACGTACACACACTTTTTTTTTAAAGGAGAGGTAAAAGGAAAAACACTATCCCAGGGAATGGGAATTACTTTTATCCTGCTTTAAGATCTCATTGGACCAATATCCGTTTTTCTTCTTGTGGAGCAGCAGACGGAAGTGGCTGAGGGTCTGGTCTCCTTTGTGGCAGGTATATTGACCAGCTTCATTGAAGTCTTTGACTTCGATGGTCACGGTTTTTCCAGATTGCTCTACTTTAGTCGTCTGGTCTTTGGTCCAGGTGATATCATCCTCTTCAGAAGTGTCACAGGTGAGGACCACGCTTTCATTCGCACCGCTCCTCCAGTCCATCTCTACAACGTAAACTGGAGAGAACCAGCAGTGAAGACCTGGACCGTGAGCTTTATGAACTCCGGTACGAGGTTACAGTCACTGCCTTGACATCCTCACTGCCCTCGAAACATCACAGCTCACAAGAGTTTGGCAAAGGCTTGCTGGGATGGTATTAGGGCATAGTGCCCTGTCTGGACTCAAGGTGACAGGACAGAGAGGCAGTGTTTAGAGCTGCCACCAAGTCGTTAATTGGCAGGTGGCCTATGATAATTAATCTCTGATTATTAAGGGGAGACCTTGAAAAAAGAAAGACGCAAACAGCACAAGATTCAGAGGTTGGGGCGTTGGGGTTGGGGTGAGAGGGAAAAAGCTTCCAGTTGCAGTTCACAGGGAAGACACCAGGGGGCAGTGTTAAGCAGATTAACACGTAAATTTAGAGCATAGGTGTGGAGGAAGAAAGACCAGAAATCCTGTCTTCTTTAAATGGCAAGGGGATTTTGAGCAACGGACTGAACTACCAATAGTCTGAGTCCTGGCAAATGATGGAACGATAGTGTCTACGCTTGTAAGTTTGGCTGTGAGGATAGGTGGGAAAAAACATGCATCTTAGCATAGTTACTGCAACTCTGTGCTAGCTTTATCATCCTCATCCTCATCCTCATCCTCATCCTCATCCTCATCATCATCATCATCATCCACAGACCAAAGAGCCAGGCAAATGCACTGAAAAAAAACAAAACAAAACAAAAAAAAAAAAAAAAAACACTTACAATTATTGAGGAAGATTTACGTTTTTAGTCCCTTCTGCATGAAACTCATAAATGGCGATTGTTATTAGCTATCTTTTTCTTTCTTTTTTTTTTTTTTCTTTTAAGCTAATTTACACTCTTATGAAGCAGTAGATAATGGTCTTCACTTTTTTTTGGAGGAAGGTACTGATGCCAAAGGGCTGATGCCAAAGGGCGAGGTTCTATCAAGTGTGAAGTGTAATAAATGCTACAGTTCAGACCTTTTGTCTCCTGTGCTAGGCAATGGCTATCCAACGACAGTTTCTAAAAGAGCCTCCAGGAATATATGCATAACATATCCTGGAGAGTATTAGAGCAAAGCTTCCTGTCACAAAGCTTCAAACATTACCCACATATCAACCACCAATCGAAAGAATAGCTTAATGCAATGGTCCTTAAGGCTTGGTTGTCTCCCAACTTCCATTATCAGCATCACCAAGAAACTCGTCAGTAATTCTTGTTCTTGGTTGCTAAGTCAGAAATGTGTTGGCTCCAGTGACCCATTTGTAAGTCTTCTAGGTGATCTTGATGCCTGATTAAATATAGAAGGCACAAAGGTAAAGAGCTTGGGGTTTGGAATGGCACAGCTATGAACCAGAATCAGCCAAAGGCTTCAAGAGAGCCTTGGATGTGGAAAGGGACATTGAGTTTAGTGTCATCATCTTATTTTGAAGACTTTCACTTTGTAGCTCAGACTGGCCACAAATTCAGGGCCTTGACCTACCAAGCTCAGGGATTACAGGCATGAACCACCATGCATGAGTCTGATGTCATTATTTAAAAAATGAAAGTAAAATATTAGTGCTTTCTTTAGAAGGTGACAAATAAACTAATTTGTATGCAAGTTTAAGACAGTTCCCTTAAGTGCCCAGTGAATGGTGGCTTTGTGATTAGCATTCAAGCATAAAACATTGTGAAATGCAAAGCTCTCACTTTACACCTGTGGGCTTTGTAACTGCTGAATGGGAAGCAAAGATAAGAGGTAAAAATCACTTGGGGCCAAACTCTTTGGAAATCATTAGCCTGAGTTGACACCAAACCACAGGAGTCTTTGGCTTCCTCCATTTTCCCTTTGTCCTCTAGGCAACTGAACAGCACTACCAGTTATTTTCCTGTTAGAACCTGGACTCCTATTAGAACCCCAGAAGACCTTGGCCCAAAGGCAGTTAAAGAACTTCTTGGGGATACTGGATTCCGAGCTTAGATATCTGCTGGGCTTCAGGCCATTACTCTGACCCCACAAGTCCTTTCTAGCTTTTTCACATTGATTTTTGGAAATTTCTGTGGTTTACCAGGTCAGAAGTAACTAAGGATTTAGCTCTGCCAGGGCCTCAGTTCCTTCCTCAGCACTCTAAAAAATTTCTATGCTGTAGACCTGGCTGTAGCAAAGGCTTTACTTAAGAAAGAGTCAAAATTTCTATTGGGGTGGTGGGGAAAGACTTCTTGAAATTATTATTTTTAAAACTGCATTTAATTCTTCTCTCTTTCTCTCTCTCTCTCTCTCTCTCTCTCTCTCTCTCTCTCTCTGTCTCTCTCTGTACACAAATACCACAGCTCACGCCTGGAGATCAGAGGGCAGTTTAGAGGAACTGATCCTCTCCTTTGTCATGCAGATCCTAGTGATCAAGTCCAGGTCAACAGGCCTGCCAGCAAGCACCTCTTTCTGCTAAGTATCTTTCTCACCCTTGTAAATCTTCAGAATGAAATGACTGACCTCAATTTTTTTTTTTTTAAGGTACCAATTTTGGTATTGTACTCCCTGGGCTCGCAAAAGATTATTTCAAATCATCATGAGAAATCTTTTTACTTTTAATTTATGCTCATTTCCTCTTTACAGGCACAGGAAACCGTTGCTTCATGCCCTCCTTGTAAAATTTTCTAGCATTTATGCACACAGGCTCTGAAGTGAGACTTAAACTGGGATCAAGTCCTGTTCTGTACTTTGTGGGCAAGTTACTTAATCTCTGGAGCCTCAGTTTTCACCAACTGTAAAATGGAACACAGATATCTCCTCCTTTATATGGCTGTTGTGAAACTGAGTGAGGTTCTGTGTTCAATAAATATTAAATATTACTACAGTATAGCTATATAAGCAGAAGTTATTGACATTATTACTTGCATTTCATGAAACATTTGAGACTCTGTCAGGAACACTTGAGGATTGAGTAGGTGGGCATTTGCTAAATGTGAGCTAGTACAGGGCAAAGAGTGCCCCGTTGCTATGCCAACACTATTAGTCTACTAATAATCTGATCACCCTTGGGATAAAGTAAAGTTCAGAGACAACAGTGCTTGTTAATATTTATGTTTATTTTACCATGTGTTGTCTTCTGTATTCGTTAACAAGCTCAATAGCCCATATGGGCCATGCAATATTGAACACTCAGTTATGAAAACTGAGGCCATGAGGTTGCCCAGCTCAAGGTTTCAGAGCCACGATTTGAACCCAAGGCATTGTGGATGCCAATCCCATAGCAGCCAGAGGAAAACCATCACAGTGCCCATGGAGAGGACGATGCAGTGAAGAGGAACAGGAGACAGCGGAAGACAGCCTTGTTACTGTTCAAATTCTCTACTAGGGAATTTCAGAAGGGTCATTTTCTAGTATTAAAGGCAAAGATCATATCTCCTTTTCCACAATAGTCTACCTGAAGCTCCTTTCCTGTCATCCAACGTGAAATCTGAACAAGGCAGAGATAGATGGAAGTGGGGAGGCTCACCCTGCCTTTTCCCTGAGGAAGGGCTTTCTTGAGAAGACCCCATGGGTGGCTGCCCACTTCAGCTCCTTCCCCAGCAGGTTACCTGGAGCTCAGGCTTAGAACCTGGAGCTCCATGGAGAACAAGAAAAGACTGCTTACCATTTTTCTCCAGCTCCCATATAGCCATGAGTGGAGACGCCAGCAGAACCACAGCAAACCAGGAGATGGTTAGCTTCTGATGACACATCTGCATGGGGGAAGAGCAGGAGGAAGAGACAGAGCGAAAGAGAAGGAAAGGGCAGGAAAACAGGAGAGGAAATGTCAACCATTCTCTAATTAGCCAGATCCACACTCTATCTGTCTTCTAAATGTTGATTTTATTCTTTTCTCTTCTACAATGTCAGGCTAGGGTTACAGGAGGTTTATTCTATCTTTGGGTAAAAACATCTCCAAATGGAGAACTGTAGGGCACCTGTAGCTGAAAGAATCCTAAAGACCAGCCATTTGATATTTGTTTTACAAGTATTTATTTATTACTACTGTGTGTGTGTGTGTGTGTGTGTGTGTGTGTGTGCATTAGCATGTGTGAAGGGCAGGAGACACCTTTCTGAAGTTGGCTGTTTCCTTCCACTCAAACTCAGGTCACCAGGTTTGTGGAGCTGGTAATTTTACCTGCCAAACTGTCTTACTGGTACCTACTCTAACCCCTTCCTCCTTCTTGACATAAAGGCTTAGCTCTGGCTGTCCTGGAATTCACTGTGTAGATAAGGCTAGCTTCAAACTCACAGAGATCCATCTGCCTCTGCCTCCCTGAGTGCTGGCATTAAAGGTAAGTGGCACCACCACATCTGGCTCATTATTATTATTATTATTATTATTATTATTATTATTATTATTTTAAGGCTCAGAAACATAGCTTAGAGATGGAACATGGCTTCTCAGATCCACATCCAGGAGTCATTTACTTATCTCTGACTGTAATATTAACATGATACCTAAAGAGCATTGAACAGAATGGAAAAAGCTTTCACCTACACTCTGCTTTCTAGGTCCAACACTGTCGAGCTACAAATATTTACTTGGACAGTATGTGCTCTGCCTCCCCCGTCATTGGGCATTTGTTTCAACACTCACTGAGCGATAGGCACAGGGATGTCCAGCTTAGGTGTGGGAAGGCTAAAACAGGGGTAAACTTTCAAGTTCTGGCAAGGACCTGTACTGGATTAGGGGTTTGTTTGTTTGTTTGTTTGTTTGTTTTAACCTAGCAGAAATTACTACAAATTCCAAGATTATTCTCTCCCTCACAACAAAACTCAGTATTTCTTAAGCTCAAGTGTATGAATAACCTGGCCTAACCAGGGCTGCTGAATCTCAGTCCAGAGTGTATGATTTAACAGGTCTTAAGTGTTCCTGAAGCCGATGCTTCTGCTCCACGGAACACGGCATAAGAGGAAATGTGTCAGCCAGTAGTTAGGGTCGAAAACTCCTAAAATTCAAGGTGTTCTTTGGCAGAAGACCATAACATATTGATTGACCCACCAGAAGTGTGAAGTACATAAATCAGCCACCATCTTATCGTAACCCTGTCCAGATTAACACCCAGGGTTAGCAGAAACCTTTAGACTGTAAAGTTTACACCCTACTCATAAATGCACTTGAGATAATTAGTATCTAATCAATTCCCTTCAGAAACACCTCCTGTTGGAGGATGCCGCCATCTGGCAGGGATGAGATTTGAGAGACCACGGGTCTCACCCATATGAACTAAGGCTTAAATGTTCCAGGCAAATGCTTAAAAATGAACAGGGTTGGTTAGAGATGGTGGCTTCCTCAGAACTAATGCTAACCTTTGTGGACCTTGCTACATTCTCTCTTTCGTTACAAATGTCATCAACGACAGAGGCAGGACTAGAAGCCAGGCTTTGCCCGGGTCCCGAGTTATCATATAGCCAAATCCCAGGTGAAAATGGTACTGGTTGGTACATTCATAGGCATGGCATCAAGCAGATGTGGGGTTGGATTCTAGCCCTGCTACTTAGTCTCTGTGGGATGTTAGTCTAGTGCCACTGAGCTGTACTGTCTTTATATAAAAAGACATAATAAAGGCGTGTGCGGTCTTAAAGGGCTTTCAGCTATGCAGTGAGATGACAGGCAACTGATGGCATGTTACCTTGCACTAGCAGAAGAGCCAAAGGGGTGGGGGGGGAAATGAAATTCTTTGTATATAGTGGGTTGAAACATAAAAATCTGCCAGGCGGTAGAGAGAAATGCCCAGAGAAGGTGGTGTAATTATATGTGTCTGTAAAACCCAGACGGCAGAACTCTGGGATGGGAAAAAGGCAGAGATTCCTGCCATCTCCTGGTGATCCCTTCGTACGCTCTCAACACAGCGATTTTCCCCTCTGCTACATGCCAGGCATTTCCTCTGTGGGCCTCAGGTGCATTTGAGCACTGCACGTGAACCCTATTTCAGGTCGAAGGGAGCTCTGGCCACGGTCTGGGGAACAACAGCATTAGCCACATCTTAGATCACAGAAGACCAGCAGAGGGTGGAGATGTCATCTCTTAGTACGTTGCCAAGCTTTGGCTTTCTGGCTGCTGGACAGATGCTGGGGAGCCACAACCCTCTCACTCTACAATCCTTCCACTCGGTAAGCGTAGGCAATTCGGTTTGTCTGTTTGTTTGTTTTCACATGATTTCACTCGTTTTCTAAATTTCTGAAATTCTTGTGCAAAGGACACAAAAACCCTGGGTTAGACACTCCAGCTCCCTAGAGTATGCAAATGCTCCTAACACCGCCACCAGCCATGGCACAGGGACCACTTTTGCAAATTTTATTTTTTTTTAACAAAAAAGAGGAATGGTATTTAAAAATAAAAACAACAATACACAGTACAGATGGCATGGGTGGCATGGGCAAGGGGCCCTGATTCTAGAGCCAAACAGACCTCAGTCCGCCACCTGTTAATGATGTGATCCTGACAAGTTTTGTTGACTTCCTCAAACCTTATTCTCCTAGACTGTAAAACAGGGACCCTGTCAGGATAGGAGTTCATAAAATGATCCTTAGAAAGTGCCATCTTGGTCCCAAAAATGAAAACAGGACCCCAAATACCTACTCTTCTTTTTCAGCATTACTGAGGCAGCAATAATTTGATTACACCATCAATGTCTGTCCTCCTGTATTGAGGTCTGATGGCAGGGGTCATGTCTGTCTTATCTTATATGCAGAGCCTATTTTAGAGAGGTTCCACAGACTGTTGTTGCAATAATCATAGCAGTCCAGATCTCAGCAAAATTAACTCTCAGTGGAGACCTAACCTCATCTTGAAATGCCTTGCTTTGACAAATTGAGCCATCGGCTTGAAGTTCAGTGATCCCTGTGTAAGAACAAGATGTCAAACTGACCCTTCTGGTGCCCATGATTTCACCTGGGCAAGCAGATTAAAAACCAACTCATCAAGATGACCTTTCTCACACATTTTAGAACCCTTTTGGAAGAAGTTTTGAACATGACTAAGGCTTTTCAGTTTTGAAGAGGTGGAGAAGTTACTTAAAATCCGAAAGAACCACAGAACCCAGCTATCCAGTTTGATGATCACAGATGACTCTAGAAGCCGACATACAGGTAGGGAAGAAGCAAGTAGGACAGTTCAGATACTAGTTTAAACTTTAAGGGGTGCCTGAAAGGCTTTTAAAAAGTTCTTGCTATTAAGGCAAGAACAGAATCTAACTACACTCTCTAACAGATACGCATTAATGCTTAAGAACATGTCTGCATGTGTCTAAACAGACAAAGCAAACCTTTCTGTCAGATACACATCTGTTCACAGGGTTTTACATACATTATTAACACATCTTTTTATTTTTTCCTGAGAGAGGGTCTCAAACTCATTATGTAGCTGGAGCCAGCCTTAAACTCCTGTACATTCTGCCCACTGCCTCCAAAATTCAGGTATACAACATCACACTAGCTGACTTTTTAAATGTAAGTAGCTGACTATTAAAATGAATATTCTGTCTCCTCTGTCTCCATATTACCTAGTTTTTAGCAGCAGGCAAAGCCATCTGAGATGCTTCCAGAACCCCCTTAGCCCCACTCCCATGCTGCCTGCTTCAGGGGTAGCTCACCCGGTCGGCTGTACCTAGACAGCCTTTAGGCTCAGCAGATTAGTGGCAGGGAGCAGGAGAGTGCTTACCTTGCTTTGCTGTAGGCTGCCTGGTCTGATGTGCTTGGACCACTCACTGTCCCTTCTGTTGCTGTGACTGCCCCCGGAGCTTATATACTCTGCTCCTACAGAACTTTCTGATGGAAACCCAAACTAGAAACTGACTAGTCCCCATTGCAACACTGAAAACTAATGTCAAAACATTCTGGGGGAATTTTAAGAAGTTCCTCCCCCCCTCCTTGTCTCCCTGAGTGTATCCACCACACAGGGAACGAACACAGACATTGAAATCCCAGGTAAGAGGAAATGATTTCGGGGTGTGGAAAAAGGAAGAGATGGAGATGCTAATTTCTGTTTACATCATGCCCAAGGTGAGTAGAGGTAACAGTTTCCAACCTCCCTGGATTCCACACACTGAGGAAAAAGGAAGGTCGGGCCCTCAACTGCGTTCATGGTTCCTGTCACAGTCAAACAACTAGGTGCTATGGGGCTCAGAGCATAATCTACAGTTCTGAGATCAAGGTGTATGATATGAGTAGCAAAGAGCCTAGCATATCTGGGCCACCTTTCTCTATGTTTTCTAGTTAACAGCTGAGTTTCAGAAGCCATCACCACCTGTTTGGCTCTGTACGACCTCCCCACCTCCACACACACCTCTGTTGTCTGTATCCAGAGCAGCCCTGGGGTTCATTGTGTTTGGAGTCGTTTCCTGTGCTCGTAGGCCCTTACTCATGGCCTGAGCTAGTCACATACAGATGACCTATGCCATACACAAAAGTCACTGTTTTGGGTATCCAGACTATATTTTCATTTCATTAATCACATACTAGAAACAATATGCAATTTCTCCTCTTGAGGGATTTAAACCTGCAAAGCGGTGTGCAACGGCGTACAGTGATGTCACCTCCCTTCCCCATCTGCTCTCAGAGACTTCAGTTCTTTCACATCCAGTTCTCACGCGGATGTGGGCCACTCTCAGAGCCACCGATAGAGGGCGCATCAGCGAGGACATCCTCGCAGTTGGGATGTACTTCTTTCCTGTCCCAGGCGGCGGCGTCGATCCTGGCCGCCTGGGAA